TTTTAAAGTCTCTTTAATTTGAACTTTGGTCCTCCTTATTGTAAACCAACAAATTTTCAATCTAATTTAGTACTTAATCTACTCTCTTGATAGTGTTTACTTTTAATATGAAAGTTTTCTCTTTCTCACTCTCCCTTTTTCTTAATAAAAATAATTATGTTATGAAATGAATAATTATATACGATAGGTGTTGGTATAAGAGACCTCACTAAATATGGTTGTTAAATGTCAATTTTGTTTAAAGAATATAACTTTTTTGACATTTATTTGGCTAAGTTTAAAAAGAAAATTTAATTTTAACTCCAAAAAATATTCAAAAATAAAACTGTGTAAATTGTTTGTTGTGAAAAGTTGATTATTTTTAGACTAATGAACCTTATTTTCTTGTAGATTTGATCAACTCCCAAAGGTATTCAAATTTATGAAAGCGTTGAGCCAAAGCAAATTCTTCTCAACAAAATCAGAGAAAAATAAAGGAGAACCACTGTCAAGATTTGGTTTAGCGAAATAAAAAATGACTTAGTTAAATTGATCCAGAGAGCAAAAGCCCTTATGGTGTGTTTGGATGAGAAATTTATATAGGGTAATTCATTTATTTGAAGAATTTCAAATTCCTTGAGGTGAAATGCTTTGTTTGGATGAGGAATTTATAAAGAATTTGAAATCCAAGCATTTGTAAATTTCCTTAAAATAGTAGAATTTCAAATTCTCTAAAAAATGGGAGAATTTGAAATTCCTCATATTTGTTTTTCTTATTTCACCAATATATTTTATCTTATCTCTTCATTCTTTTAATTATTAGATATTCAAAAATATTTTTAAAATTATTAAATATTATCTTATATTAATTTTTAAAATTTTTAAATATTATCTAATATTAATTTTTAAAATTATTAAATATTTAAAAATGGATTAATATTTATTTTTATAAAATTTAATTTAAAAATCTCAACATATAAATATATTTTTAAAATCAATTTTACTATGATGGAATCAAATTATCATATTCAACCTAACAATTTAAAATTTAAGAAATTTGAATTGACTCATCCAAACAAAATATTTTAAGAATGATAGAAATTGAAATCAAAGTAATTCAAATACCAAGAATTTAAAATTCCTTGAATTTGTAAAATTCCTCATCCAAACACACTTAGGCAAATCAAAAACAACTAAGTGAATTTGGTCTAATAAGTAAAGATTTTTGAAAGATGACAGGGCTAAACAGGTTCAATGAAATAACTTTCTTAGACCTAAAGAATTTGAATTTCGCTTAGCCACATCATAAATGGCTGAGCAAATTGGATTACTTAAGTCGTACTTTATTTCTGAATTAGAAGAAACAGAAACAGTTGGTTGCAGAGAACAAAAAATAGCAAAAAGGAAACTAAGACCTTTGGGGACAATAGATCTTGTTCATTTAATATTCAAAAATATTATTTATTCAAAAAGGAAACTAAGACCTTTGGGGACAGTTGGTGTGTTTGGATGAGGAATTTTGATAGGGTAATTCATTTATTTGAAGAATTTCAAATTCCTTGAGGTAAAATGCTTTGTTTGGATGAAGAATTTACAAAGAATTTGAAATCCAAGCATTTGTGAAATTCCTTAAAATAGTAAAATTTCAAATTCTCCCAAAAATGGGAGAATTTGAAATTCCTCATATTTATTTTTCTTATTTCACCTATATATTTTATCTTATCTCTTTATTCTTTTAATTATTGGATATTCAAAAATATTTTTAAAATTATTAAATATTATCTTATATTAATTTTTAAAATTATTAAATATTATCTAATATTAATTTTTAAAATTATTAAATATTTAAAAATGAATTAATATTTATTTTTATAAAATTTAATTTAAAAATCTCAACATATAAATATATTTTTAAAATTAGTTTTACTATGATGGAATCAAATTATCATATTCAACCTAACAATTTAAAATTTAAGAAATTTGAATTGACTCATCCAAACAAAATATTTTAAGAATGATACAAATTGAAATCAAAGTAATTCAAATACCAAGAATTTAAAATTCCTTGAATTTGTAAAATTCCTCATCCAAACACACCCTTAAGTTTTCATTGTAATGGATATTTCTCTCACTATCATGAGTAGCTAATCTTTTTCTTTGTTGAAATTGAATATAAATCTATCAAATTCTTTTATAATTATTTTGATTTATATATATATATATATATATGATTTCTTGTTATTCAATGTTAATGATTTGATTATGTGTTTAATTCTCTGGATGAATTGATTACTCATTTATAATTTGAAATTTATATTTAGATTAAAAAATATTTTATGAATCAGACTTGAACCAAACCACTTAATGATTCTAAATACTAAAGATAAATTTAGAATTGTTGATTAAATTCGTGAGTTTAACACAACATTCTGATTTGGTAATTAAGGAAATGGTTATTAAATTAGGATTCTTATGATTTCTATTGAATGAATTAAAAAATTCAATAACACTAAAATTATAGAAATCATGTGCAACGGATCTTAAGATTGTAGATGAATATGATAGATGAAGTTGAACCCCAAATAGTCATTCTCATTGTCTTCTTTTAAACTTTAAATTTTCTTGTTTGTTAGTTTAATGCTCCAATTTTAAAACAACAAATTCATGTTCAATTATAAATTTTTATTTCACAACTTTTAATTATAATAATGAAAGTCCTTGTGAATATATACAAGGACCTATTCTTCAACTATATTACAGTAGATTTAGTATGCTTGCTAGAATATTAATAGTAGTTAACTAGGTTTTCTAATGAAAATTAATCATTAACAAAGTTGATAGATATTTAATACTAATAATTGTTGAGATATAAACAAGTTCCACATCGATAAAGTAAGAGAAAAAAATAATAACTTATAAAACATACTCATACTCCAATGAAACAGAGGCTATTTGGGTAATGACCAAAAGAAAAATCGTGAGGACTCAAATCCAAAACGAATAATATCTCATCATTGAGGAGTATGCTTATGTAATAACCTTATAAAAGTAACCCTCAGACAAATATCATAAAATAACCCCATCAGTAGTATCAGAGCCGCAAGGTTGGACGCGGTAACAACCCTCATAACTCAACATATAATGTGATATATAAACACAGATTCCGCTACATGAAAGGTTAGGTCTCTTGTTTGAGGGGAGGATTGTTGAGATACAAACAAGTCTCACATCAATAAAATAAAAGAAAAAAATAATATCTTATAAAACATACTCATACTCCAATGAAATATAGACTTTTTGGGTAATGACCAAAAGTAAAACCGTGAGGGCTTAGACCCAAAGCGGACAATATCTCATCATTGTGGAGTATGTTTGTGTAATAACTTTATAAAAATAACCCTCATAAAATATCCACTCAGACAAATATCATAAAATAACCCTATCAATAATATATTTATAAAAAAAATATACGATATTGGTGTTGGGATTTTAATTGAAGGAATACCAAAAGAAAAAATATGACTGAAAAATATTTCCTTCTAAAAACAATAGAAAAGTGTCCTTCATTTTTATTTATTAGTTTTAATATTATGAATTTTGATCAGTAGTTTTCAATTTAGTTTTGCAAAATGTGAGTGGACGACATCTTAAATTCCGTGCTAAACATGTCTTCCATTATAGATAAAATTCTGATGTTCAAACCTGAATCTCCTCCATTGCTAGCCTTGTCTTTGTTGTACTGATAAGGACTGAATATGAAAATCGAAACCGTGCTAATCCTTTGACTTTGGCTGCCGCTGCATACTTCAAACTACCTCAATCTATTTATATGCTTGCTATTGCTAATACCTCTTGCCAAAATAATCTACACTTTTATTATTTAAATAGTTGCCATCCTCATTCATATTCGATGCCATGGCATATAATTATTTATGATCCCGGATTTGTGTATGGAATAGTATATATCGGGGTTGAATATGAAATAGTTTATATTAGAAAAGGTGTAAATTTTTTGTCAAAAGTCTATATAGAGATCAGTTAGTATTTTCGGTGACATATGTTTCATATAAATATTGTTGGTATGCAATAAAAGTTTCACATCATTCAAACTAGAGAATGAACATAGATTTATATATACACGGATATCTCTATTGGTAAAAAAAACTTTTTGAGTGATATTTAAAAGGCATGTGTATGTTTGTGGTAATAACAGTTGTCCATGCGAATAAACATCATTTTAAAATCTCCATTCTTTCAACTTTTCGCCTCATTTCTTGTCCACTTGTTTTGGTTTCGGGAGGGAAGTCGGGAAGTGATTTATGTACAAATTTCCATTCATAGACAAAAAATATAGGAAAATCTAGTGCCAAAATTTTATGGCTGTTAAAAGAACTACTACTCTTGTTTTGAACAATAGAGCTTAATAGATAGATCTTGCAGATCAACCACCCATAAACACTTATGACTTTTTATTGTCTAATTCACAGGTAAATCATTACATGTAAACATGCATAGGTGGATTCGTTTATAATTTGTAGATGTGCATTTTTACAACATTGTCTTTTAACACTCTTTTTAACACAATTTTATGATAGACTAAAATTTATATGAGACTCATGCTATTTGATAAGTCACAGCAATAATTTTATAAGTTCAATAAACTTTAGCCAGAAACAAGGATTATGTTAAAGAAAGTATAGTAAAAGGTGTTTTGACAAAATTTCTCTTTTCTCAAATCAACATCATCTTTCCTGGAATGTACCATCAATTGTGGCCAACTACGCACCTACTCGATACTAGTTTTTTATACATCATGTCAAACACAGTTGTTCATCCAAAAAATAAACAATTTTTACTATTTTGAAGTCATATAAAAGTTAACAGCTTCTAACCTGTCCTACAATATTTTATGCTGTTTTGTCCTCTTCCTAGGATGCGTCATTTTCAATCAAATAAGTAGTTGTGATTATAAAAAATAAGGACCTTTCAAGGTTACGGCTGCAAAGTACACTTGTCTTACCAATACCATAGCCTCAGACCATATATAATCATCTTCCTAATCTTATGACTTTAAGCCACATCTTGCTCCTTCATCATTTTTCTTGAACCATATGGTGTACTTTCTCTGCTGAATTCTAATTTTGTTCATATTCGAATTCTCTCCTTTGATCATCAACTCAAAAGGACTCTGTCCAAGCTTTCTACCACAGTTCTCTTGCTGATTAGAGAAAAGGCTAAAAAGGTTATGATTCTTATTCTTTTTCCTTTTATTCTTGTGTTTTCTTCCTTGAAATATTAACAGAATGAACTTCTCCATTATGTAGTTATGTATTATGAACATATTTTATACAAGTTTAGAAAAGCTTTTGATACTTTTTCTACTAAAAATAAAGAACTTTTTTCGGGTAAAAAACCTTTCAAAACACTTCTATCGTATATCTAAACAGATTTCATGTGCATATTGTCATGATGCCAATCCAAACTTGAAGTCTACAATGTGTTTAGTGTTGAAATTTTTGAGATAGCATTAGCCTTTGATTTCTTTTCTTCAAAGACTTGTCTGATTTTTCTGATCACCATTCTTCAGTAATGGCTCCATCATATGGAATATGGATCCATGGAAAATAGTAATTGAATAGAATAGGGGGTGTTGCATTTAAGGCTTCATCGAAAATAGATTAATGGTAACAGTGTTCTAGAGAAGATGTGAAGGGACTTAAATTTCACTTCTTTGCAGTCATTATCCTATAATGCTTGTTGTTTGTTCCTCATCCACTCTCTCTTGTCCTTTTTTGTGGGGATGGAAAAGGAACCTTTCCCTGTTTTATTAGTTTAGCAGACAAGAACCTTTCACGAAGGGGGAAGGCTTCTTAATTAGAGAAAAATATATTTGCATATTCACTGATTTTGACTGCCTGCAATTTTAGCCGATGCACCTTTGGATTTTCTGTACCTATCAGGTGTAGTTTCTATGAAAAAAATAAGTATCGGTGAATTAAGTGGATGAACGTGATCATCCTATTGACTCAGAAGGTTGAGTTTGTATCTATGATGAGAGTAAGATATTGTTGATAGCCGATCCATAATTCTTTGTCAACCCATCTCATCTTTTTGTTCACTATCTAATTTGGCTCTGGATTTTGCCAGCTCCATTTCTTTATAATTCTAAGCTTACCAATGGGATCCTCTGAATTAGTTGCAAAGCTATAAGTTAAATTTTATTTGATCTTATCTGATGTAACTGTTCATAAATAAGTAGAGTACACAGGGAGTATAATCTAACATACCTTTCTCAGGTCTAGCATGGAAAACAACATAAACATTGAAATTGCAGAACAAGGCTCTCCTGAAGTTCCATCACTCATTAAGTATATATCATCAAGTGAAGTTGCTGGCTTTGATACTTCTGACTCTCAATTTCTCAGCCCATCTGCCAAAGTAAGACTATTAGACTTGTTCAGATAAACTTCTCCAGAAACACTTGGGAAAAAAAAAATAGAAAGGAGAATTGACATAAGTTTCTATTTCTCTATATAAGTTAAAACTAGCTTATGCATAAGTTAAAATTAAGATTTTAGAGAAGTTAATAGAAAAGTTTCTACAATTTAATTTTTAGTTTATGCTTAAACTAATCCTAATTTATAGAGAAGTTTATTTCATTTTTCTTTCCTAAAAGTGTTTCTAAAGAAGTTTATCCAAACATATCCTTAGTACTTCACCTGCAAAACTGAGTACTACAGAGCCAAATTCTAAAACTTAAGTTCCTTTTATAGCATGTAGGATTTAGAGTGCCAATATAATTTTAATTCTCAGTAATTTGAATATGTTTATAATTTAAGAGATTAGTAAAAGTCAACTGTTCCCATGTTTGCAACAGGGAAGTGAAGCAACCTCACCAGAAAGACAACATGATGAACCTGAAGTCATCAATCATCAAAGGAAGTATTCTATCAGCATGCCACTTTCTTCTGAAGAAGTTCAGCTTCAACCACTGGACACCAAAACATATAGTATTCCAAATTCCTCCTCTCAATCAGGAACTGCTAGCTCCAACCATCCACAGCCATCAAAATGTTACTCTCAACCAATGCCAAAAGGCCATGTGCCCCAAGAGGCAGAAGATGGAGTCAAAACAAACAACCATCCTGGCATCAAAGCATTCAAGGACAAAAGGTTTGACTCTTTTAAAACATGGTCTGGGAGACTTGAGAGACAATTGTCAATTCTACGAGGAAAGTCACCCAGAGCCAGAGAAACTCCACAAGATGGTAACAACGACAACTCCAGGAGCACTGATAGGGCTTTACCAGTTGATCGGTATTTTGATGCATTGGAAGGTCCAGAGTTAGAAACTCTCAGGGTATGTGATTTCCTACTATCAATTCAAATGCAGTTATGTGATATAACTTGATAATAACAATCCTTAACAATAACATAGACCATGAAACTTTTGGTTCTAAAAAATTAGCCTCCATTTCCAAAAGATCCTAGGTATTTCTTGATGACTGTCTGTGTCTTAAATGAAACTGTCTGAGATGCAGGTATACTTTTTCGGATTGCGAGGATGCCTCTGGTCTATACCAAAAAAATAGCAAGTATACTTTTTTTTTTTTTAATCATGTTGCTGTATAAAGTATCCATTGATTTTGTCAATCATTAATTTTGTATAAAATATGGCTGGTCACCTTTAATAGGACCAACCCTCTCAATCACGTTTTATCTATTCATACGGTTCAAACAAGACCTTGCTTAAAGAATTTGAACTTAATACCACTCTAACCAAAGACGTGATGGTTGCAAGTATACTTATTTGGACATAACTAAAAACCAGTTTGAGCCATGACTAACCAGGAATATAGCTAGATAGACTGCTTAAGGATTTAAGCAAAGCTTGCTATTTTCATTTCCAAGACTGAAACTCCAAACCTTATCAATTGGTATTAGAGCTTATCGTTAGTGTCTTAAAAAAGAGGGTCATAAAACCTTATCAAACTTTATGCAACTTTAACTAACAACCTTTTGGTAGACATATTTCATTTGCATCAAACTCGACAACACCATAATTTGCTCATTGAAGATCCTAATTCTACAGAATTTCTCTTCCTTTTCTCCAGAATTTATGAGTATGGTTGCTTTTACATATTGAAGATTATAACATACTTTGCTTTCCTACTCCAACAGGCTTCAGAAGAGACAGTGCTTCCTCAGGACAGGCAATGGCCATTCCTTCTTCGGTTTCCAATTTCATCTTTTGGTATCTGCCTTGGAGTTAGCAGCCAAGCAATTCTTTGGAAAGCACTTGCCACATCCCCTTCCACTCAGTTCCTCCACATAAGCCTCAAAATCAACCTCATCTTATGGTTCATATCCATTGCTCTAGTTGCCACAGTTTCCACCATCTATCTCCTCAAACTCATTCTCTACTTTGAAGCAGTTCGTCGTGAGTACTACCATCCAATCCGTGTCAACTTCTTCTTTGCACCATGGATAGCACTCTTGTTCTTGGCCCTTGGTGTTCCCCCCTCAGTGACCAAACACTTGCACCATGCACTGTGGTACATTCTAATGTTACCAATATTCTGTCTTGAACTTAAGATCTATGGACAGTGGATGTCTGGAGGCCAAAGGAGGCTCTCAAAGGTGGCCAATCCTTCAAACCATTTGTCAATTGTTGGAAACTTTGTGGGGGCCTTGCTTGGGGCCTCTATGGGCCTAAAGGAAGGGCCCATTTTCTTCTTTGCAGTTGGGCTGGCCCACTACACTGTCATGTTTGTGACTCTCTATCAGAGACTTCCAACAAATGAGACACTCCCAAAAGAGCTTCATCCTGTGTTCTTTCTGTTTGTTGCAGCACCTAGTGTTGCTTCCATGGCTTGGGCCAATATTCAGGGCTCTTTTGACTATGGATCAAGGATTGCCTATTTCATTGCCCTCTTCCTTTATTTCTCATTGGTAAGTTTTTTTTTTTTTCATCCTAGCACATTTGAAAAAGAAATTATTATTATGAGTAAGGTAAAATATATTTTTGATCCTTCAAAATATTCTGAAATATTAGTTTTAGTACTTATAAAAATTTAATATATTTTTAGTCTCTATCTTTACTTAGAAACACACATTTTTAGTTTCTAATGAAGGACCAAAATCAAATCACTTTTGATAAATGAAGAGACTAAAAACTTATTACATTTTTTATAGAAATTAAAACCAATTTTGAGTGACATATTTTATCCTTATGAGTACTAGCAAGATTACTAGAAAATTACATTCCCTTTGTTATTTTAAAGGTAGTGTAAAATTTGTACATAGATGAACATGTAAAGACAATCGAACATTTAAAAATAAGTATATATATATATATATATATAATAAAGTTGAGGTAAGTATAATTTTCTAATAAGTAGGGTTTAAGCATCAAGTTTAAATAATCATGCATTGATGATGTAAAATAATTTTGTATTATCAACTAATTAAATATTACCGTTAATCTAATTTTATACTTATTTATCATAAAAAGTCATTAACATATTATAAATAATAGTTTGTAATTAATGATGGTGTAAGTACATCACTTGTTTTCTCATAAGTTTAATTTTAATATATTACTAATATATATTTTTATATTGTCGATTAATTAAAAATTATATTTTGATATGAAATTTAAAAAAAATCAATTTTACATCACAAGTGATGTTTAGACGCCAGGAAAAAAAATATCTTTATTGTCACAATATAGTCCAATTAAATTGCTAAGTATAATAGAAGAATTCAATTTAATTAACCCTTTGATATGCATAATCATTGTTGTTTAACTCTCATATATAATCTTAAACAAGGCTTTCTATAAATTTCACAACCAACACGTACTCAATAGATTTCTGATATGAAAATTACTTCCTAGTTTCATTTGATTTTGCAGATTTCTGATGTGAAAATTACTTACTAGTTTCGTTTGATTTTGCAGGCCGTTCGGATTAATTTTTTCAGAGGATTCACGTATGTTACATCTCCTGTTTCTCTTATATTGTTTACCTTACGCCATTTAATTTTCTGACAAAAAAAATTTCATGTTATTCTGCAGATTCTCTCTTGCATGGTGGGCCTATACTTTTCCAATGACTGGTGCAGCAATTGCAACCGTAAGATACTCAAATCAGGTCACAAACGCAGTTACTAAGACACTGTGTGTTATACTCAGTCTCATCTCCACATTCATAGTAATAGCACTGCTTGTATCAACCATATTGCATGCCTTTGTCTTCAAAAACCTCTTCCCCAATGACCTTGCCATTGCCATAAGTGACAGAAAGAGAAGGCCACAAAAGAAGTGGCTTGGTCTTAGATACAGGAGCCATGACTCCAAAGAGATTGAAAATTACTTGAAGTTTGTGAACTCGGATAAAATCGATTTAGAAGCTTCTACCCCACTACCAAATAGCACACAGAACTTGCCATCAATCTGAGGATATTTAATTGTTATTTTTAGTACTGTGTCCTTCAATAGACAGATAAAGAATATTATGAGTTGCTTGCCCAATAATCTTCATTAGTCACACATGAGAGGAACAAAAGTAGGAGTTTTGACTGTTCCAGTGACCATGTATTGTAGAATATGAAGGTTTGTGTACCAAGAGCAGTTTTTTTTCTAGAAACAGATCCCTACTTTACATTTTGTAAAATAAGTGAGTTGTTTTACTATATCTGAGTAAATAATCGGCATCAGTATGTGAGAATCCATGTTTGGATATGGTCTCGACTCTCGAGTTGTTTCAATCTTCTTATTTTAGTCTTTGCATGTAATACACTTAACATAGTGTGTATGGCAAAAGAGTACTATCTTGTTGCTTCTGCATTTCATGAATTGGAATGCGCAAACTGCAAACTGCTGTTTCAAGTGTTGGAAATTGACTAGTAAGATACTCAGTGTAGACCCCTAAAATTGTCCGGGTCGGAAATAATATTTGTTTTAGTACCGGGATAACAATATTCAGAAATATGAATTTCATCTTGGTTTGTTGAAAATATACTATGTTGTTTATAAACTTCACATTTTTTAACTATGGGTATAGACCAGTTGTGTAAAGAGTTTTCTATTTCTGCTATTTGGATTTCTGTTTGGGAATTATCTTGGGAAGTACTAGGGTTTTCTTCTGTTGTTGATGGAGTTCTCATAACTATTTGTTTA